AAATAAAACAGGAAAGGTTAACAGATCTAGTTAATATACAGCCATGCTACACTGGTGTAAACAGCCTATAGCCACATACACATACCAGGCTGTTTGCTGATTCTTCTATAAATTTCCACCTGCACAGTGAAGCTATTAGAACTAAAAATGAGCACACACTTCTTCACAAGTCTGACATCCTTCCTTAAATAACTAATGACAGTGGGGTTTGCTTATCTGGCTGATTTTCCACAGGAGCTTATTAAATAATGCTTCATATTTGCTACCCTGCTGACTGAGCTGAGGGCAATAAACCTCCTGGTGACTGCGGTGATAAGCAGCTGGAGTGTGTAATATTTTCAACTGCTCCACATAGAATCATTAAGGAACATCTGCCCAAACTTGTTCTCCTTCAGTATTTCTTTCCCCTGAAGGAAACAGAAAGTTCATAATTACGTTTTACCAGCAATTAACTTTTTCTTACATTAGCACTCTTTTCCTGTGACTCACAGTATCCAGCACACATACACAAAACTCTTGCCAGACTGCTTGAGCTTTTAACAATCTACTTGACCAGAAATACTGCAAATTAAAATGTGCTTCTTATAAAAAAGCTCCCAGATTCCCAATATAGAATCAGATGAACTCCTAGGAAAATGAGTTTGAGGGTAGCTCTCTACTCTCGTTAAAAATATCCCTCCACTGGTGCCCAGGAATTTGTCTCAAAGAAGGAAACATAACTGGTTTGTGGGTTAGGTAGCATTCTGATCACCAGGCAATGCCACCATCCTAGTTATTCACGTTAGATTTGGTTTGAGCCCCACTGGCAGAGGTTTGAAAAGAAGCCTGAATAGCATGAATATCTGCAGCGTACTTGGTTCTTGTCAGTCCTGCCTGAACTGCCCTTTCAATGAAAGCTGATCTGTTCTGCTTAACACTCTTCTTCAAGAGTTCATTAGCATTTCTCATCCTATCTCAAACAAAAAGGACTGTCCTGAGAATCCATAAGCACACGGAATTCCTGCAAAGAGCCAACAGATGATAGAAGCCCATACCTTGAGGCAGCAGGGAATGACACTTCTTATAAAAAGTCACCATGTGTTTTAAACCCCAATTAATTGCTAAGCAGATCAGAAATACACAGAACTGGCAGGCATGAAACAGCATGCCAAGGGTCCCATGTCTGATGGAGAAGTCTAAACTTAATTACCATTACAAAGTCATGCATTCTACTACTATTGTAGGAATACACTAACTTTAAGCCTCTATGAATTTGAGTGCATTAGTGCACTACTGTTGCAGCAAGGTACCTATCTATTAAGTGTATTTTATGTGCGACTGACAACTACACATGGACATTCCCATTCACAAGCAGAATATTTCTGGTTTAATTTCTGTAAGTTCATAAATCAAACCATAGCTCATCTGGAAACAGCTGTAATGTTATCCGATTTTAAGGTCAAAATTCAGAAGGCCTAGACAGCTCTCATTCAAATTCACCAAGGCTTCTAAACCCTTTTACCTGCCTCCACAGGAACAAAAAAAAAAATAAAAAAAATTCAGTTTGCACTTTTTAATATACCTTTTTTAAATATATATATATTTCAAACAAAACTTGATTGTCCCACATATTCATTTAGCACTGTAAGTTGTGGCTTTCAAAGCAAAAGCTAAACTCTACAAGTAATAATAAAACCCTACCATATTTTCATTAGCAGATTTCAAATGTGGGTAGACAAATATCTAATGGCAAACAAGGACCTGTGGCCACTTCTGCATTGAAATGCAAAGGCCACCTTATTCTGGGGAGCCTGACTGAGCTTACAAATATGCTCATTGGTTTTTCTCACTGTGATAGCTTAATGGGGAAAACCAACATATGTTTTACATGTCAACAGTGGGAAAGGTCAATTTTTGTGAGAAGGGCCAGTCATCTAAAAATACTAATAAATTGCCTACAAAAAAAAAGCAGTTTGCTGCCCGAAGCAAACAAAATGTTTCTAAAGGTTTGTAGTTTTGCTGCTACAGCCAAAACGGTGAAGAACAGAAAAATGCATGACTGAAGGTATGAAAACTTGCTATATTCTACCTCTCTAAAAGTAAAAATAGCAGGGCAGTAGAATAGGGGCAGTTTTCAGTATTTCTGTGTGTTTTGACTAGCTATGAGGATTCCCAGACCAACCTGTCTTATGATGTAATCAACATTTCATGCGATGATGGAAACTCCATCATCTCACCCAGTTTGGTTCTGCTGCTGATGCCTTTTGCACACCCTTCCTTCATTTTTGAGAGCAAGAGGAGGCCACTAGTGACTAACTAAAGAAACAGAATGTAAGTGAAGCTCTGTATCCTACACCTCATTTAAACATTGTGCATTTGTTTCTCCAAGTACAAAGTGAAGTGGATGAGCAATTAGAGAATTATCACCCCATCAATGAATTCTGACATCACTGGGCAGGAAGTTGCAGCTGTATAATGACAGCATACTGCATACGATGCTGGAACAGAAAAGGAAAGCACTTCAGGCAATTTAAACTCAGAAGGGATTTTATTATAATTATCCTGATGGTAACACAGCCAAGAAAACTGTGATTTGAATAGGAGATCTCAAAGTTTCTAATCCAAAAATGATCAGAACAAACTTATGCCAAGTTTAGCAAATCTGGTCTCAGATTTCACTTCTCAGATATTTGCTGTTAGTAAGCACTCAGAAATTGGAAGGGAAAGTGTATGATTAAAAATCCAATTCTGCCATAAGTTCTCTGTAAGTGTAGTGTTACTGTAGAGAAAATTGGTTCTTAAAAGCCACATTTCAAAATAAAATTATTCGCTTTTCAGAAGCACTTTTTGTTGAGCTTCAGGTACAAATCATCTTTATTTTACAGGACTGAAAAGTATTCAGAGGGGAAATTCTATTAAAAGTAATCACCCCACCCACATTTTAACAGTAAAAATTTAGCAAAAGCATCTGAAAAAAATCCCACTGCAATAATTTGGCCATGATTCCCCTCCCTCTTTTGCTGCTAAAATAGCAGAACTTACCTCCCTTACCAAAGACAAGCTTTATAGAGTTTTCAGAAAGGAGTGAGATATATTTTCCTCAAAATTTAGTTGAGATTAAAGAGACTTCAAAACTAATCACTTTATAGTGAAAGGCACAGAAGTCTGTACAGAGCATTAGTTTAGTTTGAGAGCTGAAAATCTTGAACAAGTGTTTCTTTGCTCAGATCTCTTCAATGTGCTCCAAGTCTGCTGTTGAGAAATGGAACACCCAGAAAGAGGGAGCTGGTAACTCAATTCTTGTAACTTACTATGAAGTATAAGTTATCAATAAAGCAACCCTATTACTTTTTTACTAGAAAAGGTAATACAGTGATTTGAGTGATACTTATGGACAAATTCTACTTAGCATGCAAAACTGACCAAAGATACCAAGTATCAGACAGAAAATAAGGGGACAGATCAGGACATCTGAACCAATTTACAGTCATCTTTCATGTACATTTCACTGTGGTTGAGGAATTAGCATGTTATCAATAAACAGAAAGTGCTTCTCTTGAAGAATTTTTACAGACTTCATTGCTCAAACATATCTTTGTTCAAAATAACTAAAAATTTGATGTTTATTCAGACAGTATTCTTTCAATTGCTACAGAATGATAGCTCACTGTAAAGAGTCATTTGTGTATTCATGGACAGAAAGCAAGCATCAGATTGTGTACAAATACTGTTATACACACATATAATCAAAGCACTGGTAAAATTATTGGTATAGTACAGTAAGTATAATACAGAATCCTATAATGGTCTAATTGGAAAAGACCTTACAGATCATTTAGTTCCACCCACCCCCACACCACCCCTCCCCCGCCATGGGCAGGAATATCTTCCACTAAGTCAGGTTGCTAGCTATATGTGTAAATATAGGTAGCACTTGTGTATGTATTCATACACTGATATATGTTAACACATATCATTAGATGAGAATAATGGCACTGGAACTAGTTATAGTACTAGCTCTTACTAGTAAACCAGTCTAAGTTGAACATCTTAATGACTTCCTATTGACATATATTTTTAGTGAGTGCTTTTTTTTTTTATTGTCAGCATGTTTTCATTGCTAAAATGTCTTTACCAATTGACATTAGACTACAAAACATGTAAAAATTGGATTAGTGAAGAAGGATTGGAAATAGGTTTTTCTCACTTAACAAAGATACAGCTTAAAGGTTGGTGAAACCAACCTGTGTAACCTTATCTAGGTGTTCCTGCTCCGGCAGGGGGATTGGACTAGATGATCTTTTGAGGTCCCTTCCAATCTCTAACATACTGTGATACTGTGATACTGTGAAAAGATAACTGCCACCTCGTACAGATTTTCTGTTATTTCTTAACATGGTGTGGAAAATGTTCTAAACATTCAGCAGTGTAACTCAGTATTGACTAAAATTTTAAGTACAATATACTGTGTAATTAATCCTATCTCTTCTCCAATTAGTCTTTTAGGAATGTCATGTAAAGTATCTCTACTTATGCCCATCAGGAACAATTAGGTGTAAGACAAGTATATTGTACTGTGGTAGCACAGGTCACAGCAGCTTTGCAACAATAGTACTCGAGAACCTATAAAACTCTAATCCCCGTCTTCATAATTCGGGGGGGGGGGGGGAAGGATACCGTCAACCCCTCCAAGCATCACACAGACACATCCTCTGTCCTCTCAGAGCTCGAGTCCCTCTCGCTATCCTTGCATGCTAATTAGAGCAGTTGAACGCGATTCTGCAATCGTCAGCCACAAAGGCAACCCGCTGAGGCTAGTCTGTGGCACCGGGGGGGGGGGTGTGGGGGTGAGTCTTTGAAAGGAAGTTTGTGTACACCGATGTTTTCAGCAACAGCATAGCAAGAAAGGCCAGGTTTCTCTTCCCTCCCCTCAGACGGGGGCCATCAGAAAGCTGACTGCTCTGCCGTCCCCAGCCAGGGCAGCCTAACCTCACCGGGAAGGCTACAACAGCGAGGCTTACCTTAGTGAGCTGAGCGATCTTCTTGCACATTTTCATGTGCATTTCCTGACTGCATTCCTCCGCCGAGCTGCTGCGAGCTGCTTTAGATGAATTACAAGTCCCGGGCTGATGAATCTTGTTTATGCCAGAGGCCATCAGGCTTGAATTTAATCAAGTCTGTCAGTGTACGCTCCGGTGGTGCGATCTCGTTCCTCCTGCTGCCTGGCCCGGCGCACTGCTAACCCCACAGTACTGGAGGAACTTCAGCTCCACACAGGGCGAGCTCCAGCCGCTGCCGCTCTCCCTTCTGTGCAGATGTCCCAGTCCTTCAGCAAAACACCCAGGCGAGGAGGTAGAGAACAGCATGTGCAAATATCCTCATCGGGATTATTTTCCCCCTCCGCTTCTCTTCAAATGGTTGAGCTTCTGCCAGGAGCAGATGCCAGAGGCTGGATGCTACAAATTTCCCACAGAAGTCACCGAGCCAGCCCTAAAGGCATCAGCACAGACGTTGCTGGGGATTTGTTATAGACATCATTTGCAGATGAAATTCTGTTGCTTTTTTAGGATGCCAGAGGATTGCAGAGGTCATCAGAGAAGACGGTGTTGGCATCTTTCATAAACTCTATTACTTTATCAATCCTCTCTGAATTCGGACGGACCGATAAAGTGATGAAGAAAATCTTGTTCAATTTTTGCTGCCGTGCTGAAAGCAGAAGATTCCACTTTGCTAGTGGTGGGTCTGAACAAACACTTTTTCAGGTTTATCAGAACTGGGAAGGAGGATTATCCGGTATCAGCTAAGGAAGGGCAGGGCAAAAGGGAAAAAGGAAAAATCCTTAGTGAAAACGGGAAATCCGGGTGAGGGTAAAAAGAGATAAAGCACTCTTAAGAATAAAGCACTCCAAGAGGGAAAAGTTCAAGGCAGAAAAATGCCTGCAGGCAGTGGAGAGAAGGAGTGAGAAGATAAGGTCTTGGGACAGAGAAACCAAACTCTTTAATTGCTGGAAGAAAAAGAGGGACTTCAAATATCCAGAGGCAGGAAGAGTATGAGAAACTCTTCAAGAGTGAAAGAAAATTAAGGCTGACTGAGAAACACAATGCAGAAGAAGGGAAAGGCAAGGAAGAAAAACTGGTCACATTTGCTGAGAGATGCTATGCAGGGAAGAGATGTTTAGCCCAGGTAGAACATTAATAAGAAAAGGTAAGGAACAGAGCCTTGCACACAAGGAATGACTGAGTATAGTTTCTTCCTTCATTGGCACTAGTGACAGGATGCTGCTTCCTGTGGCTGAAACTTTTTCTGTGACTAGGACTTAAGGACATGACATTGTTAATTGTCTGGTATCTGATAAGACACGTACTCACACTCAAGTTTAACTCAGTTAATACAGTTATACTATCTTCTCTACATGGTCATCAATTAAAAAAAAAGGGTAGGAACTTAATTATATGTTGATATATGTTATACATTGATACATAATCATATTTTTGATAAAACTGACAAGCTTATTACGACAAGAAAGAGAACAGAGAAGGCTGGAGCAATTTCCTAGCACCTTATTTTCTCAGAAAAAAATGCCAAACCTGAGTGAAAATAGAAAGTAAATTAAGAAAAAAATAAAGATGTTCTGGAAGCAGTTGCAATTACTGCTTTACTAGATGGATAGTAACATATAAGTATTTTCTCCTTTACAGCAGAGAACACACTGAACCTGAATGCATGGCTAGACACAGACGACAAACATAAGCAATGGCAGAGCAGAGAAGAACAGATGTCAAGTAAACTGGGAGATAAAAACAGCATTGAGATATTTTCAATCAGACTGTTTATGTAATTTCGGGAAGGAGGGTTAGAAGGAAAAACCTGAGGCTTTGGTACAAGATGGTGTTTTAGCAGAATCTGCTGATAAAACACTGATAAGACTTGTCTGTCAGTCAACACTTCAAACACTGGAAAAAGCTTCAGTTGGATCTCCTGCAACCAGAAATGCAAGCTCACAGGTGATCAAGTTCATTAGTTCCACTACTCAAGAAAACCACCTGGTTTCAATAACAGAAGTTCAGAGATGACAGCAGAGCTTTTCAATAAGAATTTGACCTCTTTTTTTTTTTTTATTCTAATTGAACTAGGGATCAACTGCAGGTAGGATTACAAGGCCAGTATGTCCACTTAACCTTCCACTGAAAATTACTGAATTCAGTGGGATTTTTTTTCTTTTTTAATACACGAGGCAAAGTTAAAACTGATCCCCCAGATTACACTCTACTGATGTTTTGCAGCCCAATTTGCATTTGAAAATGGCAGAACAGTACAAGTACACATTAACAGTCATATTATATTTCAAATGACAAAGCCGTATCAATCAAATGGCTTTAAAACTTCTCAAGTTAGCGTCTCAACAAAGGAAGATGCATCCCTAAGTAAGATTCTAACTTAATTCATAAAACACTATCCCCATTATTGATCTACACTTAAGTTCAGTTTGGTGCTGTCAAGGTCCAATTGGATAAAACCCAGTGTTGCAAATATTTTGTTTGTGATGCTCAGAGTGAAATTAAGATGCAAAAGAAATCAGTACTGCAATCAGTCAATTTATTATAAAAAGCTAATTATTATAAGAAAATAGTGATAGGACAGATTGGAAAAAAGGACAGAAATTAAGCAACAATTTGGAGTGCAGAGAGAGATAGTCACCACTGTGGATCCAGCGACATCCCAAGGGTCTGTAGTTGTCCTCTTTGGTTGTGAGTGTCTCCCAGGGTCTCTAGTCATCACTGAAGGTAGATGGCCACAACAGCTATTACTTTTCTTCCCTTTTATAACACATTAGGGGGAAGAGCCTCTGTTCTTAATGTCACATACTGCACATTCCTGGTGGATCACATGCATCCACTTTCGCTGGTCTTGCAGCCAGCTCTTCAACTATGCATGTCTGTCAGCAGTCCTTGAGATAATGGACAGCAGTTCCTCATACCAACCCTTGAGATAATGGACAGTGGAGTCCCATCTCAGCTCCTCACAGCCATCTTCGTGATAGTATTCAGCTTCTCATATCAGTCTTTGAGACAATGGCCAGTGGAGCCTGATTTCAGTTCAGTCTCTCCCAGGTCCCACAGCAGTTTTTTGACCCCACTCAGCATACAGAATTGAAGGACTGGAACCAAACAGATGCATCAGTTACAAAAGCTCTTGAAAAACTAAATAGCATAAAAACAACTTCCCTTATTTACCTGGACTTTTTATCCAGTGACCTTCATCTAAAATTACCAGAAAGTAACTGTCATGCAGCAAGTCTGGCTTACTCTATGGTACTGTGCGTTTGTTCACACACAGGACTGACAAAGGAAAGAGAAAGTATCTGAAACAGTGGGTGAGAAGTAGAGACAAGCAGAAGTAGAGCATAGCATAGGAGATAAGGTCAGTATTTCAAAGGACAACAAAACAAGCTTAAATTATTGGAGTATACTTTGCTCTGGAGCCTGAAGCACCATCCAAGGTTCTGAGTTTCATCATTGCTTCCTTTTTCAGATAGGACTGTGAAACCCACTATTCGCAACCTCCAAGCCTGTACTGCAGGTGAGATCCCTGCCCTCCCAGTCAATCACTGTATCCATCCCTCAGGAAGCAGGTAGCCCTTACTGAGTCAAGTTAGCTTAGAAAAGGACTGAAGACCCAAGGCTGAGCTGAAATAGGGCTACTGGGCAAGAGGCATGGCTGGAAGCCCCAGCTGAGTCTGGTCAGAGGCCATTAAGGCTTATTAGTGCAGTCAAGGTCTTGAAACTTAACCTGTAAAAACTAGGACAGCAAACGCCTCTATCAGTTTAACAAGTATCCAGTATCACAGGTACACTCCACGTGGAGCAAAGCCTGAATGGCCAATATTTGTGATCCTACTTCAGCATGTGATATACCTACACGTGAAATACCAATTCTGATACTGGGAATCTGGACCCCTGTACAGTATTTACCCTTAAAGCCAGTATACCTAACTGGGTTAAGATTTCAATATGGCATAACAGGAGCCCAATTTCTATTTCTACCAAGAAGTACAAAGTCTAACAGAAATATTTAAAACAGACCTCAAGAAACAGATTTCATATCCTGGGTAAAATCCATCGTAAGGGACTGCAAGGTATTCACCAAGGAAATCCTCCATCAGTGGATCTGGGATGCAGGTAGACACAACTGGTCTGCTAAATATATGTAAATCAAACATAAGTAAATTTGCATTATTGGTTTCAGTTAAAACAAAAGTCCTGGTGTTTTAAAATCACAATGATCACAAAGTTTTACCAGCTCTTCTCTTCCTGTTTCCATCCTCCTCTCCACAAACAGACTCCTATGGTGAAAAAAGATTCATGGAGTTAATTGCCCAGTAAAAATATCTTATTTCCGAGAAAATATAACCTTACAAAAACCTTAACTCATTAAGGATTTGCTGCTGATTATGCTTTTGTAGAGTGACTATTTCTCCAACATGAAATAAAATCTTTTAGAAAAATGTTAACATATAAAATTCTATGTTAGTGCTGCACTTGTGAATGTAGAATCCGTTTCCCACTCTCTAAAAGCAGATGCAGATTGCGCCGGAACCGTTTTTTTTTTTTTCAATTAATGCAAAAGACTCAACATTTAAAAAGCTGGTATGTTTTAAACATACACAAATGCACGGTAGTACAGTATGTCATGAGAAAACAACTCTGCCACATGTATAATTGTAAAATTTCTTTTTATCTATAAAATAGAATGCTTTTTCGTTCTGCTGCTGCCCTCCATTCTTCACACAGCTTGTATACCCCATAATCCTTGACACAACCATAAAGGGAAAATCATTCTACTATTTCCTTCATAAAATCTGCTTCTTAAATAAAACCCTGGGAAAATCCAGATCTGGAACAAGACTGACCCCTAGCGCTTTTCTCTTGTTAGATTTTTTTTATTATTATTTTTAATTTTTTTTTGTCTTAGAAAGTCAAAAATGACACTTCTTCAGGATGCGTCCCGCCTATTTGACGTACTGTCGTTTGATAGTATGTCATCTGTCCTTACAAATAATTGTCATCACTTGAGGTAATCAGACACCTTTTGTTTTTAGGGCCTAAACACATATAGACATGAAATACCTGGAGTTCTGAGTGTCCAGAGTTATCTACTTCTGTCCACAGTTTTGAACGGTGTCTGTAGTCCTCTAATTAATATACAACCCTGTAGTTAATATATGCTCAGGATGTTTTCCCTCAGCCAATCATCTTCTTCCTTGCTTCTCATTAAATATCAGTCCCCGACTCACACTATCTTTTGTAACCCATAACATACCTCTGGAGTTTGAGTTTACTTATCTTTCCTGATTTTAAGGAGATACAGAATTTATTACTGCTCACAAGTTTAAGGATTTCTGGGAAAACATTAGGCTCACAACAAATGCTTGACATCTTGGGGAAAATTTCCACTAGTAAAAGATTTAGTCTGGAAGGAACACAAACATGGAGTCCCAAAAGTCGATTATTCATAATAGCTATCTTTTCCCTCATAGCTGATACAAATCACAATGTTTCAATAAGAAGCACTCTGCAAGTTGGATTCAGCTTAGGTGGTTCACCCAGGGAACTAAGTAACCAGTTACTTAACTGGTTATGTAGTAAACTTAGCCCCTGTTGTTTCCTAAATCTTTAAAACAAGAAAAAGTGAACTTTAAAACAGGCAAACACACCTCGCTCTAGATAGCATAGCTGAGCATTTTTTGTCTCGCTGGATGACCGTTCTCCAAAGGGCCTTTATTACCTTTAGACACAGGCTGAGCTTCCTTCGTTCACTACCCCAATTACTTGAGTGTAAGGTTCCCGTTTACAAAATATAACTACATTCATTTTTCCAGAAGATCCCGTCCGGAGAGGACCTGGGGAGAGTGGCTAATGGCAGCAAGATAGTTTATGAGCCCTACTCAGCTATTTTGCATTGACGTACTTTCTGAAAATCCTATTACCATGTACTCCTCCATAGCCGCAACGTGGATGACCTCGAGCCTGCTTTAAAACAACCGCCGTTCAGGTTGGGAGCGCGCCCTAAGAGGCGCAGGCGAAATCTCCTCAACGCAGCACCGCCCCACCCTCTTCTCTCTCACCCCTCGCCCTCCCCACGGGAACATGGCGGCGCGACACTTCCCGCGCGCTCCCCGACTAACCGCCGCTCGTCATCACCCAGGCCCTACCCCGCCTCCAGCGCTCAGGCACGAGCACGCGCTTCTCCCCCTGTCCCCGCCCGCTGATCCTCTCGCGAGAGCTGGAGCGGTACTCGCGCCCGGTTTGAAGGTGTTGGCGCGGGCGCTGCGGCCGTTGCTGGTGAGCGCACTGTTGGTGGCGCGGGACGGGCTCCCGTGGCGGCCCTGCGGCTGGAGACAGAAGAGCAGGGGTGGCCTCGCCTGGCCTAGCAGTTGAGCGGGAGCCTTGGTTAGCCGTTAGGAACGGCCTCTCTGCCGTGCAGGAACAGCAGCTTTCCGCCTCCCGGGGCGGCTCCGTTCTAAGAGTATCCCGGAGCAGGAGAGTTCTTCCGTGACCGTCCCCCTTCTCTATAGCCATGAGAGCAAAAAAGAAGCTGCAGATCAAAGAAGCCTTTCAGCTAGCCCAGAAGCCTCACCAGAACCGCGCGAAGCTTGTTCTGGCTTTGAAGAGTACCTATGACCAGGTACGCTTGCTCTCGGGCCGGGGTCCCGCTGCACTGAGGGCAGAGCGAGGGCGCTCAGCGGCGGCCCTGCCTTTTTCTCAGGGGGCCTCTTTGGCCGTGGTCCCCCTAAAAGAAGTGTTAGACACCTGCGACTTAAAAGAAAAAAAAAACCAGGAAAACCTCCCGAACAACAAAACTTTAACGAGCCACAGGCTAAACTGTTGTACGCAGTTACCTGCTGCGAGCATGGTATAAGGACAGCTCACGGCAGGTATTAATGATGTTGCTGGAAGGTGGTTGGATACCCTAGAAGCAGGGGTGACACAGGTTAATAATGGATGATGGTGTTGATTGCCGTTCTGAAACCTGTCAGCAAGTAAATGTACACTCCAGAACGAGCCCCAGCGGACAGGATATATGCTTGCTGTAGAATTAAAGCTAAATATTCAGTGAAGAGTGCACAACAGTGGGTGTGCTCTAACGGCTTTAAATATTTAAGTGGAAGCTGTCAATTTTTCTGTGGTACTGTTTTTGAAAGATGAACCGGGTAGTTGTCTTTTGCTGTGGCTTAGTTTTCTTTTTTTTTCTTTTTTTTTTCTTTTTTTTTTTCCAGTTGAGTGATAAGGAAGATTTTCATGAAAAATTCATTCATTTCCTTAAGTATGCTATGATAATCTACAGACGGGAACCTGCTGTGGAACAAGTGATCGATTTTGCGGCTAGATTTGTTACTTCATTTTGTCAAATGGAGAAAGAGGATGGTAGTGAGGCAGGAGAAGAGGATAATTTGCTTCTGAACTATGTGTTTAACTTTCTGCTTGAGGTACAGTAGCACATTATTAAATATTTAACACGACAAATAGAAAACACGTGGTGAGGAAAACTTTCTGGTGCTATACCTGCACACTACGACTTAAAAAGTGAAAGTAAGGCAAAGCTCGTGCTTTACAAGTAACATCACACGCCCAAACACACACACACACACACCTTGCAACAACTGGATTTGAAAAGTTAGGCCTGTGAGAAAATATAAACTGTTCTTTTATTTGTCTATTAGTTGTGTTATTATAGGCTCTGCTATAGGTGCACTTACAAGTGTGAATTTGTGGAACTGTTTTGGAAATGAATTAACACTGTCTCTAAGTAAAAGTATTTGCACGATCTTTCATAGAAGTATGGTTGGCATATGTATTACTTGTTTCTGCTTATTGCAAGTCTTATATAGAAAGATCAACAGTTCAAATAACATGAAAACACAAGTATAATTAAATTTTCTTAAATTGTTTATCAGGCCAAAATCACTAGCCATTGTTGCTATTGTTTTTTTTTTTTTTGTCCTCCTAATATTTTATGGCGACAGTGTAAGTTAGCTAATGTAGTCTATATTAGGTGATATACATGTTTCTTCCTTTGTGAAGGTGTTGCTAATTATGTAAAGTGCCCCTGACCTAGGTGATGGGCCATAGCTGTTTTCCAGTTCTGTGACTTTTTAATCTTATTAAAAATGAACTTAAGTGGGAAAAGCTTTTGAAATAGAGGTGCATGTTTTATATACTGTATACAGTGCCAGCTACTTACATGTGCATGTCAATAGCCTTAAGTTAGAAATGAGAAAATTGTGATTACAGGAATACTTTTTTTTTTTTTCCCCCCAAGTCTCACAATGCGAACAGTCATGCAGTTCGGTTTCGAGCATGTCAGCTTGTTAATAAGATTTTGGGAAACATGCCAGAGAATGCCCAAATTGATGATGACTTATTTGATAAAATTAATGAAGCTATGCTGGTTAGACTTAAAGATAAATTTTCAAATGTGAGAATTCAAGCTGTTTTGGCCCTGTCGAGACTTCAAGATCCTAAGGATGAAAACTGTCCTGTTGTTAATAGTAAGTAGTATTGTTTATTTTCCTCTTTTAAAACAGATTTGTTGATTTTTTTATTAGTTTGAAACATTTTTAAACATTTTTTTAAAGCATTGAGTAAACAAATGTTAGAGGGTGTTCTTCATTCATAAACTCTGTCTCTCTCTGCTAGAGGAGGTTGTAGATGCAACAGTCAGTCATGTTTGTTCAAGGGGAAAAGACAGAACTTCTTGAAAGACAGATCCACTGGGGATTAAGTGACAGACAAATGATATTGTGTTCAGTCTATCCTGTGACCTGAATATAACTGAAGGATGATAAGAGTAATGACATGTTGTGAATTGCGGTGGAGATGCGACACATGCTTGCCCAGTTCTTACCCTCTAAGCACCCTTTTGTAGTATTAAATGGTTGAATTTGCACAAAACCACTTAGAGGGGTAGAGATGATAATGGGAAAAGAAATAATTTTGTCTCACATTATGCCTTTCTGCCCCAGGAGAGGCAAGCTGGTTACTGACATTGCTGAACTATGATTTTTGTGTGTCCCCCACTCCCACTCGATCTCATCTTATTAATGGTTCACTTTAAGAGATTAGCACCTTTGGAACCCAGGGTTCCTGATGCTGGTTTTATGCCTTTTTAGGTTTCTTTGTATATGGTGTGATTCTTAACTTAGCCTCTACTTCCATTGCCTCAATTAGATGTAGGTTTGTACCAGCAGAGCTGTTATGTAAATTATACCTGATTGAACTTTACATACTGTCTTTTGCAAAGAGTTAGTTGTTTATTGTTGTTCAGGTACCTTCTTTGAAGTTATATTTTCTAAGTGTTTGCTTGTAAGTTGCTTGTATAGGAGCATGTAAATTTAATAGTTAATCATAATCTCACAAAGCAAGAAGGTGAATTCAAGTATTCTCTGATTAATTTTTTGTCGTTGCTTTTAATTTTGAAGAAGGGTCAAGAATACAGTAAAGAGCATTACGTGGGAGATTTGCTGTTTGAATTTTGGTAGGCTTAATGGAGATTGCAGGTTTCCATTTATAGGAAAATTTGAGAATCCGTCTCAAAGGTAACAAGGATGGATAGCCAGTGAATAAAGGTGTTAAGGAGTCAACATTTGGAAGGTTTGTGGGTTTTTATTCCCCAATTAATGACAAAATTGTCATTTATAAACAGGATCTAGAGCAGCAAATTTTGGAGTTATTAACTGTAGATCCTACTTATGATTGCAAATATTATTTCTGTAGTTGAGTTTCTTTTGATATCATTGCACAAGCATGTAGTTGTCATAAATCTTAAGACTGTGACCCTAAACTGTTCCCTGAATTTGTATGAGCTGTGCAGGGGAGGGGTTTAATAACAGCTGTAGGGTTTTTAGGTTTTTTCTATCATGTTTCAAACTAATGAAAACATTATTATGACTCTTTTACTTTCAGTTTACAGCACATTGCTTGAAAATGATTCAAATTCAGAAGTGAGGCGTGCAGTGCTCTCCTGTATTGCTCCATCAGCAAGGACTTTGCCTATAATTGTAAGCCGCACGATGGATGTAAAGGAAGCTGTCAGGAAGCTGGCGTATGAGGTAAACTGAATCGCTTGACATTCCTTTCAAAGACTGACTTAAGAAAAGGTCTTTAAATCTTGCATTATCTTTCACTGCTTAAACAGTAAGAACTGCTAAATTATTTTCACTTACCAACATTTTGAGGGGAGTGATTTTTAATTTTTTATTTTTTCCTCACAAGTTCTCAAGTTAAAACCTCTGAACCTGATTACACAGCTAGCTTGATAGAAATTAGTGTTATGGTAGTACTTGGCTCTTCAGGATCATACAACAGATCATATATATAATTTATACTTTTGCTGTTTTCTAACCATACATTTTGTGATGTTTGTGAAGCAAATTTTCTTCTATGTTGCTTTATAATCAATAATTCAGTAAAGTTGGGATCACAACAAAACTAGTATAAAAAATTGCATAATTTTGGTATTCCAATTTTAAGAAGCATCAGTCTTTACATCTAGAGGTAAGGTCAAGAAGGTATGCTGCTACATACATTTTTACTGGAGGCATCTTAGGTAAGCTCTTCAAACAAATTATTCTATCTTTTCACACAGAACCATCTTCTGCTCTTTCTTAAATTCTGTTTTTTTAACTGAATCTCTTTGTTACTGGGCTTTAAGTACATACTTCAGGCATTTCATTGCAAGTATTCATTGCTCTTGGAGGTTTAAAGAGAGATAATACTTTTCATATTCAGGTGTCTCATTCAGTTAGTGCTGTCCAGCTTCTGAGCTGGTTGTTAACTTTATTCCTGATTTTTATTTTATGTTTTCTTCCATGCACAAGAATCTGCTCATTAACGTATTGGTGCAGTGCTGTTGGTATCAATATTACAGTCTTTTATTGACTTTCCATGCATGGATAAAACATAGTTAATGAATTCAGTTATCATTTGTAAAATGTATTTTAACTATTTATTTTTTTTATTAAGGTTTTGGCAGAAAAAGTTCATATGAGAGCTTTGTCAATAGCACAGAGAGTAAAATTGTTGCAACAAGGACTTAATGACAGATCTGGTAAGAGATGGTCTTTTTCAACATTTTAATATAAATATTTGAGAGAATACTTTCTGATGTTTTGGGGATAATTCATACAGAAGCTGTGGTAGCAATAATGAAGAGTTCAGGGGGAGTCATGAGGTACAAGGAAATGTTTAAACACAAGATATTCTGCTTGCTACTTTGGTTTTCTAGTCCCCTTGTACTGTATAAACCAGAAAAGGATTTCACTTTCAAAAAACTTGAAAGCCACTGAGCTTTAAAGTAGGACCAAATACTACTAAAATTAAAAAGCAATGTAATTAAACACAGTAGTAGAAACATGTAGTTATTTAATTCAGTGTATTTTGAAACGTTTCATTACAGATATTTTTGTAACTAATACATGCATTAAAGAATTGAAATGTGAACATTAACATCAGTTTGACAGTTGTTTGAAAATGTTTCTTGTGTGCTTTCAGAGAGAAATCTTCTAAGCTGGTTATTTTTTCATTTGACTAGCTTGAATGTTTTCTTACTGGCTTTTTGACTGACCTTCATTTATTTCATCATGCAGCAGCTTTATTCTTTTTGATGTCTTCTGTGCTGTATCACTTTATATAAAAAGCCATTCAGAATGTACCTATAATTGTGTGTGTTGTTGCCAAAAGATCAAAAGGTCACATGCATCCAAGTGAGACAGTTTTGGTCTCTGTCTTAGAGCATAGTTTTTATTTGCAATAATAGAAATTATATACATGAATTTCCCAATGAAAGCTGCCTGTTTTACTAAGTGCTACTGTGTTACCCACATATATTGTTTGGAAAGTCTGTACTAAGGCCTGTTGAATTTTACTCTTGAGAATTTTCCTTATTTAGTGACGGGATGCTTGTGAACTGTGAGAAATAGGACCTATGTGGATATTCACTTTGAGAGCAAAAGTACTGTGTTCACTGGTAACTGCAGCTCTTAAAGGTGTGTCATGTATGCATATGTTTTGATTGATCTACCTTTCTTTTTGGCTACTGAGGACTTGCTCTTTTTCTTGACACATAGAATCACAAGGGAAAGTATCTGCCAGAGTATGTAGTCTCACTGATTTTGATATCACATGCTCTTTGTTGAGTAAAAATTTGTTCCAAATGGGCTGCATTTGTATATAAGTCCACTAGTATTCCCTGATTTTGATCTGTTTTGCAAATTCTGTAGTCTTGAGCATGTTTATCAAAATTGCTTATCTGAGTAACTCCTAAGCTAACATGGGAGGAATCTGCTCGTTCAAGGTTGCTAGGTTGAAACTTTTGTTTTTCCATATTGGCTTCAGAACAAGGGTTTATAATTAAACAAGACCTAGAAGACATAATCCAGATTCTGCTTACTTCTGCTTTTCAGGGTGCATTCAAGCTCTCAGTTTTCCACTCTTGCTTTCTTTCATTCTACTACATTCTAGTAGTTTATGCTTCTCAATTTCTTTGAGAGGTTTCTCAGGACCTTAATTTATCTCTTTCAAGGCCTTTCTACAGATCTTTTTGAATTCCTTACTGCATTTAAGTGCTGGTTTTATTACCATAAGTTACATGTAAGAGGAAAGATGAAGGTTGTCAGTGTGGGTGTGTGGACTTTGTTTCCCTTGCATTGGATATTGTTTTCTATAAAGTCCTAAAAGCATACATGTATCACTCCTTAGTTAGTATGTTTTTACTTCCTCCAGACTATCAGCCTTTCTACTTCTGTGGTTAAATCTGTGTGTACGCATTTATGATGTATGTGTTCTAGTTGTTCCCATAAATATTTTTTTCCTTGATTAACTAGTACTCTGCTGATCCAAAAACTATTTGTTCATTGTGGCAATGGGGAAGAAGGGCTCTTTATGTAAATTTCAGAAACCAGTGGAATATCTGAATTAACACAAGAATTCTGTGTAGCAGTTTAGGCTAAAGGTCTGTACAGTAGTATCCTGCCTCTGAAAGTGGCCAGTTCTAAATGCCTGAAATGTATATAATCATGCTTCCTTAGATATTTCCTTCATCTGCAAGAGTTCATGGTCTCTAGATATTTTGGGTTGAGGTGCCATCTTCTTTCTTTGTCAAGGGGTCTTTTTTGTTTGGGTCGTTTTAGTTTTGGTTTGGTTTTGGTTTGGTTTTTTCTTTTCCTTTTGGGGATAGGGAACTATGTTGCCTCAAAAATGTAGTAGTGCCCTATAGGTGGCTCTTGTTTAATTGTTTGGGGGGGATTGTTGGTTTTTTTTTTTTTGTTTGTTTGTTTTCCTTCTTTCTTAAGGTGATGTTAAGTTCAACAGTATAATAAATTCTTTCTATAAAGCCTTCCACAGAAATAGTATTTATGAAAGTATGTTTGAAATTTGTTATTGTTTTGTCGTTTAACATTTTAAATTCCTGTATTATTAGATGCTGTTAAGGAGGTAATAAAGAAGAAGCTACTTCAAGCCTGGTTACAAATGACTGAGGGGGATGTTTTGGAATTCCTTCATCGACTGGATGTGGAAAACTGCCCAGAAGTGGCCACCCCAGTACTAAATGCTATGTTTTCATTATCCCCACTTGCTAACTTTGTTCATAACTGTAAAAACCTTGACAGCAGGTATGCAGATCAGATTTCATTCCTAGAAACTGAATGTTTTGTATAAGAATATCAAAGATTACATCTAAATGGGGAGCAGGGTAACTATTACCTGTGATAAAAGACTAGTGTAAGCCATGATGTCCCCTCGATGTTTGTGCTCTTAAGTGTTTTTGGATGTGCTTTTCTATTTCTATTTGGACTTCTTTCTGGTGGATTTTTTTATTTATTTATTTTAAAGATCTGTGTTCAGCAGCTGAAAATGACTGTGCCAGATAAGCAAGGGGAAAAAGTGAAAAATGTCTCTGATTTCTTTCCTGGACACTCCAAAAATCACACATTTAGAATTTAAGAGGGGGCAGTAAATTAATCAACTAAACAAGCTTTTTGAATAATAACTTAGTCTAATTTATTTTATCTCCTGTACAGTCTGTACAGCTTACAATAAAGGCAATGCTTCAGTTTACCCCACAGCTATGATTTTTCTCTTTTTAACTGTTTTACTTAAAAACTCCCTTTCTTCTGTTTCTCCTCATTAATGCTTCTGATCATTCTCACGTGTTTCCTAGTTCTCTTTGGCTTCCCTCTACCTTATCTGTTAAGCTAGAGAGAGCACAGTGTGGGGCTGGTTCAGTTATCCACAAACTCGATGGAGAACCAAACAGAATGGAATTACTGGACTTGTATTTCAGCCTTCTTTTGGACGTATTTTACTTGTATTAACGGAGTTTACCAGAAGTTGGTATCCTAGAGGCTTCTTGGCCACTGTTAATGTTTTATAGAATTTGATTAAGTAAATTTATAAGATATGAAAAATATGATGTGATGACTATGAAGGTCTGTAAAACCAAAGGGGATAAGAAAAGAAGAAATTAGAAGTTGTAGGAAGTTGCTCGAGAAGGCAAAAATGTGTGAGAAGAAATGACTGGAGTTAATTGAGGCAACCAGTGTAGAATGATTATTAGTGGTAGATGTCTAGTCTCAGGTTATAAACTTAAATGACAAATGTCACTGATTTGAAGAATCATAACAAAATCTCATTCTGTATTTTGGGGGAAAAATGTGTAATGTTATAGTATAAAGTGTCTTGCATTCTAGTGGTAGCTTACGCCAGATGTTTTGAAATCAGTTGATGCTACACATATTACACTCCAAAGCTATTGCTGTGGACCTGACTGGCTTCAAAAAATATCAGTAATTTCTTAGAGCCTCTGAAAATGTGCCAAAATCTTCAGAGGTTGAGAGGAAAAATTTATCTGGCTATGGACTTGTCAGTCTGACTTTGATCCAACACAAAATGGGGGTTCCATTCTGAAAGACTGGGCTGAGACTAGCAGTAGATCTATTAGACTAATGACACTGAGAAGTGAGTGAAATCATTCAGCTTGTAATGAAGTTATTTGATTTACGAAGAATATTAGACTTGTTCTTGTATGACGTTTCTGACTAGAGCTTGATTGATGCACTATCAGTATGAGAAATCAGACTTCAAATGCCTAAGTATTTTTGTTAAATTTACTTTTAAATTAAGACATGCCAGATTAATGGGAACACATCAAATGGTCAATTTTCATCTATGTGTTAGTGATTTTTTTTATTTTTTTTTTTCTTCTGATGTGCCTGAAAAAAAACCATAATTGTTATTGGTGGTTTGCAAGTAAAATGGGATTCAAGGGAGTGAAAGTACCACTGACAGTGATAGTCTGTCTTTTTTGGTTAGAGGTAGAATTAATGAACAACTTACCATTCTGGTCCTGAAAAAAGATTGTATGCCTTGCTTGGCATAGAAAAGACTATGATTATAAAAAGGAGTGGGGGTCCTATGGCTGGTAAACAGAGGATGAGCACACAGAAATACTGAGAAGCAGTTCTATAACTTTGCTTTTGACATGCTATGATTGCTACTGGAATTATGGGAATTATAATATTATAATTATAATATTATTGTTGCTACTGGAGGTATGGGAAGATCTTGTATTAATAATGGAACAAAAAAATCCATAAGCCGAAGCTGAAAAATAATTTAATGCAGTTATTGCATTTCTGCAGATTAATAGAGTTCAGTTTTCTAGACTTGTGCAGTGATAACAGTGTTGCAGAGAGTTAAGGTACTTGAGTGGTTGCACTAAGAGGTCTGAAAAGCTGAGCAGAATCTTTCTGCAAAGTAGCATGAACAGCCTTGATTTACAATACTGAGAAGTGCAATGTAGCGAGAGGCTTGGGGAGCTCAATGTCCTTGCTCAAGACAGAGGAAGCTATTTTTGTCAGTCTTTAAGTATTTCTGAGGTGAATACCTTTGACAGGATTTCATTTTAATCTTGGGAAATAATCTGTTTCTCTGCATGTGTTATCTTTGATCCTATCTTATTTATCTCTCTGCATTTTATTTTTTTACTTTTGTTTAGAAAACTGATTCCACTGGAAGACTTAACAGCTGAGAATGTGGTATATTGGAGATGTCTTTGCGAATATTTAAAATCAAAAGGTGAAGAAGGTGAAGTTTTACTAGAACAGATGTTGCCAGAACCAGCTATATATGCAGATTATTTATTAAGGTACACTGCATTTACAAATAAATCTCTTGCCACTAAAATAGATTATTTTTTTAAAGTAAAAAATATTTCTTTTATGCAACTATTCACATTTTCCTAAGCCAAAGTTGCGCTTGAATAGTGATTTTTCTTTTTTTTTTCTTTTCTTTCGTTTTTTTTTGTTGAGTTCTTGTTTTGATTTTTTTAGACTTTAAAAAAAGATTTTTGAAAGAATTTGTTTCTAGTAAAGAAAAACTGTAAAATGCAAATTTATAACATTAAAAGAATTTTTGGAATGTCTTTTTGCATAATGGCCTGATACATCAATAGCATCTAATCCTTTGCCATTTAAGATAGCACAATACTTGGTCTCTAACAGGCAGCTATCCTTTGTCTGTCTGTTCTTATAGAAATTGCTGTGTGTTTGCAAAGAGCTTGCAGGAAGAGGTTTTTAGAGCTTGCAGAAACTGACACTTTTTCATTTCAATGCTGTCCTCAAGAGAAGTGTTTCTGAAACTGAAAGTTCCTTCACTTCTGTCTCCTGCTTGTGCTTCCCAAAAAACTTATGTTTAAAGGCTGCTAAATGAGCTAATTACGGACCAATTACAGAACTATGGGGGGGGGGGAGGGGGTGTTTTGTTAAGTCAAACTTTTCACAAAAGTGAAAGTTTCTTTGTTTGTGTTTTTTTTTTTTTTGTCTCTGTGGGATTCTTTAGTCGTGACATAAAATCTGAACAGAATTTATATTTGTGAGCATGGTGACTGCTGAGAAATCTTAACTGAGGTATTGTATTTGCAAAATGTAGAGTGATGCTTCCTGAAACATTATAAATCAGACCTGCTAAAAAAATGCATTGATAGATGATTCAATTTAAAATATGCATATTCTTTTCTCACTTCAGTGACTGTAGTATATATACCAGTATTACTTCTAGTAATCGTTGCTACTTTTCAACGTAGAAGGTGCTAGCATGTTTCATAAAAGTTTAATAACTGAAGCATCTGTGCTTCCCTAATTTTGAATCCATTCCAGTATGTGCATTTTAGATCCATTCCAGTATGTGCAAATTTATTCATTCATAATTATTTTAAAATTCCATAAAACATTTGCTCTTAAAAACAAAAGAAAGGTGTGTTTTTTTTTTTTTTTCCATCCAATCTTATTCAAAATACTTTCAGTTATCTTCCCTTTCAGCAACAGGCTGAGATAAGATGAATTAGGTTTACTAGTACTTGTTTGTAGTATCAACTGTTAAACTCTTCATGGTGCCAGCAGTTGTTTTTGGATAAGATTTGCAGTTGTACCATTGAAGTCTTTATTTGTACTGTTAGACTATTGTTTAGGAGGAGCAAGAAGCTGCAGGCCATTGATACAAAAGAAAAGGTGCAGAATTATGAGCTTCATTTAGTTATTTCACTGTTATCTGGTGCAGGTAACACTCTGTTAAACGAGCAGAAACAGTTGCCTACTTTGTAATTTCAGCTGTCCTGAAATGGCAGCTATATGCAAAGTTTTTGTCCTCATTTTGAGGAAATTTTAAAAATCTCTTAAATTTAATGAGATGTTGCTGAAAAGTATCTGCAAAGCTCTGGTAAAGGGAAATATATTTTTCATAGCTTGTACAGTACCAGTACAGCTTGTACCTAGTAGGTTTAACTCCAGGTTTTCTGGAGAATGTAAATGCTGTCATTGATGGATAAAAATTTGATAAAGGAGCAATGGTTCTAGAAAAATAACAAAATGGTACCGAGTGGTTGTACTTCCCATGCCATGTGTCTGAGTAGCTGACAACAGATTGTTCTGTGCTGGCATACTTGATCATACAAAACATTTAAAATTCACAGTGCACTTGGATGGTTTTCCTGTATTTATTCTTGTAGGCACTATCATGTTCCTGAGCACGTAGAAGAGTATATAGTACCTACATATGCAGAAAAATACTAGCTGTATGCATTAAAAAAGGTACATGTATACAGTTAGTCCTAAGATGCTGCGTGGAAACCTCATAGCAGCCTTCCAGTATCTGAAGGGGGCATATAGGGATGCTGGGGATGGACTCTTCATTAGGGACTGTAGTGATAGGACAAGGGGTAATGGGTTAAAACTTAAACAGGGGAAGTTTAGATTGGATAGAAGGAAGAAATTCTTTCCTGTTAGGGTGGTGAGGCACTGGAATAGGTTGCCCTGGGAGGTTGTGAATGCTCCATCCCTGGCAGTGTTCAAGGCCAGGTTGGACGAGGCCTTGGGTGATATGGTTTAGAGCAAGGTGTCCCTGCCCATGGCAGGGGGGTTGGAACTTGATGATCTTAAGGTCCTTTTCAACCCTAACCATTCTATGATCTATGATTCTATGATACAGAACTTGAAATCACATGTGCAAGCATAACTTGTCGTTTTCTTACCGTTTTGCATTTTCAAACAAATGTCTTTTTTTAATAAAGTGCAGTATTTTTAAACTACATTATTTGGGATAAATAACCTTCTGGAACTATTAATCTATGAAAAGGAGAACACAAACCTTGATTTTTAAGGTTTGTATTTAAGATAACCACTTGTTTATACAGGACAAGAAAGTGGTGTCTGGTTTTTGTTGTTTGTTTGTTTGCTTGCTTGTTTTTCCTTTTAACTTTCCAACAATGATTCAGAATGTAATTATATCTTCTATTTGGATGCAGTTACCTTCAAAATATGCCAGTTCTTACTGAAGAACAAAGAGAAGACTTTGCTTGTTTTGAAAACCTGATGACAAAAGAATTTATAGGCCAGCAACTGATTCTTATCATAGGCTGCATGGATACCACAGAAGAGGGAGGAAGGTAAACTTTGTAAGATCTGTGTTATTAAGCTTATGGCACTCATGCATGTGGAGACGTATAGAGTCTCTGTTGGAAAAATAACGTGATCAGACTGACAAAATCTAGTTCCTATGCTGGCTAAAAATAAAAGGCACAGTCTCTGTAATGGAATTGTTCCCCAAAGTATGCCATATATTGTCTGCTTACTTTTATGGGAAAATGAGTTTTTAATGCAGATACAACATTGCTTGGGGAGAACAAATTGTTGTTTTCATAATCTTGAGACTATGAAGTTACAGAACTGTTCATTTGGAATATAGTATATAAAAACCAAAAAGAGATCAATGGATTACTTCTCAGCAGATGACTTGCAGTAAGTAGCCTGCATTTTTGTGTTTTTTAAGCCCAGCCTACTAAGGCTTAAAACGTTACAGATGTTTTAGATGAGAAGCTGAATTGGAATTTGCTGAGTCATTCCTATAATTTGAACAGCCTTTTAATGTGAAGTAATAAGAGAGAATAACTTTGGAAGTTCGTACCACCACAGGCACTTTATGAAAAATGGCAGTTATGATAGCACAAACACAACAATGATTTCAAATGCTCAGTGGAACACATTGTACATGTGACAGACTGGCAGGAGAGTTGAACTTGTAATCTTCTTTTTTTAGTTTCCAGCCAGATAATTTCTATAAAAGCATTCCACAGTATTGATAGTTTGACTCTTTTCTGCTGGTATGACCTTTCATTGGACAGTAGTGACACCTGATTGAAAAATTCAGCATTTTCTAATCAAGAGAAATCAGCTAAAATTAGGAAAAAACCCAAACATTGCTAAGTTAGAAAATATATTCAACAGTTAATATAGCTATAGAGAAGTTTCTTTTATAAGATATTTCATCACAGCAACTGAAAGTGGGTAAAAATATTCTTACATTTTCAGTTTTCTTTAATAAAAAAACAGTTTTTTTTACTCTTTCATACAGAAAGCATCTGTTGGTTACTTTACAAAAGATCCTCATTCTACCTGTGATTTCAACAGCCCTTATATCTCCACTTACGGAAAGATTACTCAGTATTGTTAACGATGATGACAGAAGGATTCAAATTGTAAGTAATTTTAACGGCTCACTGTTTTCTAGGCTTTGCCTCCTTTATATATCAAACAGCCTTTATGAATGAAGTGTAACAAAAATATCAGGAGTTAAAATATTTTTAGTTTGGAAAAACATTTAGGTGGCGGTGTTGCTGTATCCCGCCCCACCCCCTTTTTTTTTTTTTTCTATAGTTGCATTTGGTGGTTGTCTAAAGATCTTTATCATTAGATATTTGGCTGGTTTTGTAAATGCAATCCTCAAATTAATAAAGTATTTAACCTTAACAGCCTCTTTCAGAATCCTTGATTGTATTAGATCCAAGCAGTTTTGACTAAACATTTGAAGTGAGGGTAATGTACATTTCCAGATTTCAAATTTCTCTTCCCTCCTTTTAGCTGAGATAGATATTAAAACCTGTATAAGAAAAATATTTTAGTACAAGTGAAGTCTTTATATACAGCCTAATTATTTAAACTTGACTTCTGAAAATAGACCCTCAGTTTTCCCCAAATATTTTAAATGAAGCCTGGACTGAAGGACAGAAATCACTTTTGGAAAACTTAATTCAGTGGGAGAACCAAGGATATAGGTTTGTTATATGACTGCAATGGCAGAACTGTAGTAATCTGAGCATTATAGTACAACAGTAATAGTAAATGTGCACATTTCTATTATTCTAGTGAAATACACTGGTTCAATATGTTTCATTAGTTTGGTACAGCTTGAGAGGAAGCTACACTGTGGTGATCTGATACAAGATAAAATAAGACTGTTCTGTTTCATTCAGTTTTTCTCATGTTTCGTCTCGTTTTTCATTTATGTAATGGGTCTGACTTTAAAGAAAACCCCTAACCAGCTGCAAATCTCTCAGCCTAGTTCAGCTTCTAGTTCTATGCATGTATTTAGTTTGAATTTAAATTGCTTGTGAAGCCTCTTACACTACATGGGATGGTTTATAGACCTTTAAATGATAGTGTTCTTAGTTGCGTTTTGATTGACATAGTAAGAGGTGAAAAACCTCATGCTTGTTACCAGTAATTCTTTTTAAAGCATGTGTTCAGACCTACAGGAGATGGGTGACTGTGAACTGTTGGCATAGAAACTGCTTAACTTACTCATGGATATACAGTTTTCTGTTTTCTTGCTTACCTTAGCTAAATGGTGGAAAACCTTCCACTTTCATGGTTAGGCTATGTATTGTCAAATTGAGGATTTACTTGCAGTGAATTGGCTGTTAAGGGAAACAGCACAGATGTTTAATACTTTTTCAGAAGGATGGTATTTTAAATTTGGAAAAGTTAAAAGGCTAGTATCTGACATCTGAGATTAAATTAATTGCACTAATATACTGTTTGTAACAACAGATAGCAGAAATTATATCAGAAGTTTGTGAGCCGATTGTTACAGCTGAGCAGCCTGATGCTACTGAAATTAGAAAGCGGGAGCTCAAGGTAAGCAGATTGTAGCTAACAAGAAAATATATTTTTTAAACCATAATCCATCTAGTAAGACTTTTATGTAGTAGTGTATTATTGGCTAATACCACAAAGATTATAATGTTACTTTTCTTTTTACTTTGTATTTCAGTTGGCTGAAATAAAAGTGAAACTTTTTGAGGCAAAAGCAGCTTTGGAAGAATGCGTTACTCTGCAGGATTTCAGTAAAGCATCAGTGTTAAAAGAGAAAATAACTGAGTTGGAACACATTAAAAAGGATCTGATAAAAGAAGTAGAGCAACCCGAAATTAAAGAAATGCATGTGGAGAAGGTCTCTTCCTTTCCTGTACTACAAAGTGCTGGTTATGTTTTGATGTTTATTCCTTGTTTTAAAAGCAAATGTAGTTTGGCCTTGTATCATTTAAATTTTATAATTTGAAAATGAACACATATGGTATTAGTATTCTCTTCCTGCTTGTACCAGAAGCTGATGGTATGCTTTAGCAAAAAAATGAATTGCACTTAAACTGCTCTTTTGTCCTTGAGTAACTAAAGGATTCCTAAATGGCCTGTTTTTTATTGCTTTTAACTAATTGAAAACATGAGCTTGAATCTCTTTTCATTATAGCTTATAGAAAGATTTTTATTAATATTCTAGCACAAAAAATGTGTAGTGGACAAGGAAATGCTTTTTTGGGTAGGGGAAAATTATGATAAGTGTCCCCATTCTCCTTCTCACAGTCACAATTTTCATTAACAGTGTGTTTTTCTTTTCCCTGGCTCACAAAAAGGATGATCCTGAAACACTGTTGAAGTGCCTGACGATGTGCTATGAGCTTCTGAAGATCATGTCCTTCTCTAAAGGAATTGGTCCAACCATTAATGAAATCATCAAATCTCTGGTACATAGGAATAAATACTATTTATGTTATAATAAAACCAGGTAGATCATAGCTGATCCTTAGGTGCTGGCAGGATAGCTTGTGATTATTTCACAGTCACTTTGCTGTATCTGTAGTGCTGTGTTTCGTGCTTTTAAGCCTTCCCAGAACCTGCTGTCTCGGCGGTGCTTTCTTGAGTTCCTGTGCCAGATCTGGTTGTGGCAGAGGGACACTAAAATAAATCAAGAATATGGTAAGCATTTAACTAATGTATGACAGTGTTTAACAGTGCTGAGTTACACTGTGCCAAGTGTGGTGCTAAGCAATCTCCTTACCACAGTTGCTGGTATTTTAATTATTTGGAATTTTTTTTATCAGCTGAAGTTACAAGATCTCTAATAGAGAACTTTTATGATTTTATCTTCTTGTTTTTCACCTAGTCAAAAGCTTTTCGTCTAAGGGAGACTGGAACTCCTGTAGACCTTTTTTTCATCTCTTCCATGTACAAGGAAAGATGTTTGGATGAATTTCCCTCCAGCCCTCTCTGTTTCTTGGCATCTTTGAAGAGCAAAATTACTTCTGTATTGAAAAGTCAGGCAGTGGCATTATAAGCCTCTTATAGTCAACAGTATATACTTCCTAGTTTTCATGGTGAAGAGAATGGATTTTTAAGAACACTTCTGAATATTAGAGACTTTTAACTGTACCAAGTATGCAAACAAAATGGAGAAAAGTAATATGTCATTGTATGAATGGTGTACCCCCATCTGAATACTCTGTGCAATTCCTAGGCCATCTATCTAGAGTTGGAAGTGGTCAAGAGAAGGGCAACAAGGAAAAGTATGGGCTGGCTTCTGTATGAAGAATGACTAAACAAGTTTCCTATTTGTAACCTGGAGAAGAGCAGGCAGGGTCTGAGAGAGGGTAGAAGTCATAAGATGTGAGTGTTATTGGAGAAAGGGAATAAGGATTTGCTGATTTCCCCCCCCCCCCTAAAGCTAGCAACTAGCCAGCTCAAAACAAATGAAATAAGTTGATTCTTACATAGTAGGTAATCTGTGGAATTTCAAGAAAAATAAATATTATAGAATGATTAGGTAGCTAGGCATGGTCTCCCAGCTCTGGTATCCCTCAGCTGCAAATCACTGGGACCATGACAAGAATTCTTGGGAAATATCTGCTTAGTCTGTTTACATGATGCTTTATAGGAATTTGGGTTTGATCTTTTTTGCTAATGAGACAAGTGGGCCTGCTGACCTGACTGACTCAGTGTGGGCATTCTTAGAATTCAAACCACAAACAAAATTGCAATGTCAATTTCGATTACCTTAAATGAAATGGAGCCACACTTGATCTATTTCAGATGTATAGAAGTATTCTTAGAAATCCTAACTAGTGTTTATGACACAGAAACCCCCAGAAACCTTTTTTTTTTTTTTTTTTTATTAGGTCTGTTCTTAATTTTCACATTTGTTGTTTATTCCACTTTTTTTTTCTCCAAGATTGTGCTTTCTTATTGTTCATGCTAGATTTTCATTATTACACTGGGGATTTGAGGTATCTTATTTCTTGCTGTTTAAACTTGAACTCTTTAGTAAATGCAAAAATATAAAGTGATGCCATTGTAGAGTTCACCCTATATTTAGCATGGCTTTTCTTTTGCTTGGATTTTTACTATTGTCTTCTCAAAACTATTCCATATACATGTGTCCTGGGTTCAGCAGTAGCAGTCATTTTTCTCCTTCCTAGTAGCTGGTACAGTGCTGTGTTTTCAACTTTAGTCTGAGAGCAGCACTGATAACACTGATGATCTTAGTTGTTACTAGGTAACTTTTACTCCCATCAGGGGCTTTTCAGTCTCATGCTTTGCCAGTGAGGAGGGGGCATGGGAAGCCAGGAGGAAACACAGACAGGACACCTGACCCAAGTTAGTTAAAGGGATATCCATACCACAGCACATCATGCCCAGTATATAAACTGGGGGGAGTTACCTGGAAGGCCCAGATCATTGCTTGGGTTGGGCTGGGTATCAGTCTGTGGGTGGTGAGCAATTTTGTTCTCTGCCCTTGTTGTTTCTGTTATAATTATTATTATTGGTGGTAACAATTGTGATTTTGTGTTATACCTTAGTTACTGGACTGCCATTATTTTATTGCTGACTTCAAACACCATAGTTAATCTTCTTCTAGTTCTAGCTAGATAAACACGAGTAGTTACCACTTTCACATCCTGTATCAAATGGATTTTTGATTTCAGGATAAGCACATCTTAGTAGTCATTTTTTTAATTTTGATTTATGTATTTTAACTATAAAGTCTGTTATTGTTTCCAGATACTTCCTGGCATAACTAATGTCCATCCAGCTGTGAGAAATATGGCAGTTCTGTGTTTGGGGTGCTGTGCCCTTCAGAAGAAAGAGTTTGCTCGACAACAGCTTGCCTTGCTGTTACAGGTAAAACATCTGATGGGAAGTCAAACAATGGTCTGTGCAACTCAGTAAATAAAACTAGTCTTGTATCTATAATGAGCTGTTCTGCATAGTTATGTTATTTGAGAATCAGTATTATTGATTTCCTAAAGATCTGAGTCTGGAGAGTGTGGTTTCATGTAGATTTTCCCGATGTCTAACTCTATACGAGCTAACATTGTCTCTTGGTTGGTAGGACGCTGTTCCTTTGTAAGGTCATTTCTTATCTTAAAAGTTTGTAGGAATCCTTTGTAAGGATCGCTTTCTCTTCTGGATCTGGGTAAAGTCATTCATATATTTATGTTATTACAAGAATACTACAGCTTGTCTTTTCTGTAAGCCTCCTGGCCTTGGGAAACCAGACTAAAAATGTGACTGTGATTGTTTTCACATTTCTGTTGATACTCACCTGTCATCTTGAGTGTCAGATTCTAATTTCTGGATTATTAATTTTGTATGTATTAAGAAAGTTGTTAATTAGGGGAAAAAGCAATATTAAAAACCAGCTAAAGATAGCATGGCCAAATGTCTATGGATATGGAACATTCTGAATACCATAATACCTCCATCTCACCACCTTTGCGGTAAAGGTTCTGATGCTGAGCTGATTATACTAAAGGCAACACTATTGTTAACTTTTCAGATCCTGGCTTTAACAAAGTGTAGGTGGCCATCATGCTTTGAGTGTGTTGCATTCTCAAGAGAACTGATAGCAGACATTGAGATGATACGTTCAGCTCAGACAAGATCATAAAGCTGTCAATAACCATAGTAGGAGAAACTTGGTTTTCTAAAAATTTTGCATACACTATTGTTCTTAATTTGCCTTTGAGTATGTCTCATAAAAAATCACTTTGGGGAGGATTTCAGTTGTTTTAGCAACTTTAGACTTAAGCAGTTAATATTTGTAGGTATTAAACCCCATACTCTTTCTGCAGACTGCCATCAACAGCAGGGTGTTGGGCTAAACAGATCAAGGATCTCAAGGCTAACCCATGATGTATGGTTTTATTTGAATGTTAATTTGAACTATAATATATGTAGTAACCTATGCAACTTTTATTACTATTTTGCTCCCTGCTGTCTATTATGTTATGTTTATTTTATTAAGCTGTACGGTATTTCAGAGCAGCAATTGTCTTACATATTTTTTTTCTGTGGTGTCTATCAGTATGGAGTTTCTTTAGGCAAATAGACTTTCTGTTTGTCCAATGTCTCTTTATAAGCTGAACAATAATTCACACACTCTGTGAGTGAATTTCAATTGATTTTATGCAGTGGAAATTGCATAGATGACTTGATGATAAATTATTTCACAGACTGTATTATAAATTCAGGTTTAAACTCGTATCACACCTTCTTACAATCTAAAATTTGTCCCAGGTACTATAAAAAAAATTCCCAAATCAAACAATCTTTTTAAAGCAAAAAATCTTGTTGTGCTTAATGTTAACATTGGTGGTCTACCCTTAGGTGATGTACTTTCCTTATTAAACCTAGGTTTTACAAGTAGATGATCTAAAGGTAAAACTCAGTGCTTTAAAGGCAATCTTTGACCAACTTATGCTGTTTGGGATTGAGCCATTTAAAGCCAGAAGAGGTGATGACTCTCAAAGTGAAGATGGACACACTAGAACTGAAAATTGTGAGGAAGAAAGTAAAAAAATAGAGGAGGAGGAAGAGACTACTGTAGTTCACCACCTCCTGCAGCTTCTTTCTGGTTTCTTAGACAGTGAGGTAAGAAATATAAAATTTACCTTAATTTTTTTTAATGTCTTTTACAGAAAGCTTACCATCCTACTAAATTGCATATGAATATTACATGATGTGTAACTGAAATTAATAGGATAGTTGTAGAAAATGGCCACAACTTTGTCACTGATACTGACTAATGTTACTCTTGAGCTAGCTTTGAATTCTGTGCAGATGAAAATATATGAATGTAGAGAATTGATTGGCATAATAGGATGTGGACTGTTACCATAAAGTATTAGTGTAATGGGCTGTGGTTTATCTGGTGTGTGTGTGATCAGCTCTTTCTTCAGTTTCCAGAACTTAGGACAGATGCTGCAGAAGGCATAGCCAAACTGATGTTCTCTGGGAGGCTGATCAGTGCCAAGCTGCTTTCTCGTCTTATCTTGTTGTGGTATAATCCTGTGACTGAAGACGATACTCGGCTTAGACACTGTCTAGGAGTTTTCTTCCCTTTATTTGCTTATGCAAATAGGTATGGCCTTTGTAAATCATTGCGTGAAAATACACATTGGTCTAGGAGCTTAAGGAACCTTTTTGCATCTTGCACGAGTAGAAATTGCACAAAGGTAAAGTAGACCTAAAGGTCTAGTTCAGACTCCTGTGCATGTTACTTTTGAGAGTACATAATCTCAGCCAATGACTCTTCAGAAGACTTCATTAATTGCCTCTTACCCCTGTGGCCTTCCACCTTTTCTTTCGTTTTTTTTTTTTTTTTTTAATCTTTCCTAAGCCCATAATTCAAATTGCTCTTCAAGACACTGAGTAAAAGATTAATTAAAAAGATGTGCTTTACTTATTTATGCTGTTGAGCACTGCAGGTAGGCTTTGAAGTGCCGCAAAAAAGTAGCTAGCAGAAGGAATTCTTCAAAAGAAAAGAATCAGTGCCCAGCAGATATCAAAGCTGGGTGTTTGGGGTTTGGTTTGTTTTTGTTCTTTAACAACAGAATACTCCAATCTAAATTCATGGCAAATTCAAAATTTTCTGTTTACTTTTGTAGTGGACAAAGAAAGTAGTTTATGTAAGGGAATAGGAGCTTAAATAGTAATTCTCATCTTCCACTTGCTCAAAGAAATAAAATGTTTAACTTACTTTTCAGTTGCTACTAGTAGTTTTAGCCAGTCTGAAGTAGATGAGCTTTTATCTGCTTTTTTTATGGTTAAGATTTAATTTAGGTTTAATATATATGACCTTATCTATTTTTCCAAATTGAATTCAATTTTTTGTGCCTATTAATTGCCACGTTAAGAGGAGTAATTCAAAGAGGAGAGGGGAAAAATCCCCAAACAGATATATTTTTGCTGTTGTCTGAGAAAAACTAATTTCATGGTTCCTGTTTCACTGATATTGAGTAATGTAATTAAGCTTTTAACATTGATAAACTTTTGCCTGTGAATGTCTTCTGACCCTGTGAATTTTTAAGAAAAAACCTTGCTTTAAGCAAAACTTGGGTAAATCAGTGGAGAGAAATATCCTACATCTTAGTCTGGCTCACCGGGTTGGAATCTGTTTAGTTAGGAAACACCATTAGTTTTCTGTCTCAAAACATGATCTCTGTTCTGGGTCACAAATGCTTCATATTAAGATGAATCATGGAGTGTCTTTGCTTACCAATACTGTATTTTTAGAAGAGAATTATTAACTGTGTGTAATTCAGAACTGTCTGCAAAGCTGCCATTGAGCTCAAGTAATGAATGACATTTGGCTGAGCTTCATACCTTATTTTGGTCCTGATCTCTTCCCTGAATTCCGTTTGTTTTCTGGGTGCTGCTCTGTTGACCTCCTGTGTGGTCACATCTATAATCAAGAGGTTTACCCTTTGAAATTAAGTATTTGAACTCTGGGAGGAAGAAAATGTTGCTGCTGATTTCTGTAGATACTCTGTCATGTCAATGGGGTGGCACACTGATAACAGGGACAGGATCCTGTGACCAGTGAACAATTCTCTTTCGTGGAATGTTTTCTAAACAGTTGGAAACTCTCTCATGGCCTGAGAGGACAATGTTCTAGATTTGTTTTCATGATTTACAGGCAATAATCTGAATGATAGTTCAGTTATACTTGAACTACTTCAGCCTTAAAGCTGCCGAAAGGGAGCATTCTTGCTTCCATTCTTTTTTGCCCCAGCTTTAGGGCTCAAAAGGCCTTTTGGTCACCTCCTTTGGCTCAAGAATACAGCAGCAAACAATCTGCTTTTTTTGAAATTATTTATTTTTTCCTGTAGTTATTTGGGTTCAAATAGGAGGTTAACAAGTATCAGAAATAAAAAAGGCTTCACTTCCCCAACTTTTGCCTTGTACTTTTTGATGTCTTTTAAATTGTTTTGATCTGGCTTGCAGAACTATGTACAACTTGCTGCAGAACCAAGTGCAACATGATTTTTAGGCTTGCCTGGCAGGAGTTCTTAACTCTTCTGGGAAAAGAAAGCACAAATGCTTCTTCCAAAAATCTTGTTAACAACTGCGTTTTTTTTTGCCAGGCTTCCTCGATTTCTTGCACAATGAAAAGTATCCCCAAAGAAAAATGCTACCAGGAAGGAGGACTGAGCAGAGGACAGATTAATCTAAATAAAAGATTTAGAAAAATGTGTTTCTGTCCGTTAAGAGACAATATGTGTGTATATATCAGGTTTTCAGTAGTAAGGATGAACTTTCAAACTGTTGAGAGGCAGAAACTGTTACTTAAAACTTACTTGAAATACCATGTGCTTAATTGGTTTTGTGAAGCAGTTCTGATCTCCTTCTGGCTGTCTACCAAGCTTGGCTGCTCCCACATTGCTTTGACTGATGTATTGTAATAGGTCTGTGAACTTTCAGCATAGAAGAGAAAACTTAAGGGTGAATTAAGATGTAATTTTGTCTTATATATTGAAACAGGTCTAACCAGGAATGCTTTGGAGAAGCTTATTTTCCAACTCTGAAAACACTGTTAAATGCTCCTGCAACTTCACCTTTGTCTGAAATAGATGTCAGTAATGTTTCTGAACTGTTAGTGGACCTGACCAGACCAAGTGAACTGAAACATCAGTCTAAAAAGTCTCAGGACTATGAGGTACAGTGTGCTAAACAGGAGGGAAACAATATTTGTAGCTAGAGATTAAGAACTGATCCCCTTCACTTCCTGCTAGCTCTGGGCCTTTCTGAGATTCCTAGTGTCAGCAACTGGATTAAAAGCGTGATGGTTCAGGTAACAAACTCTTTTAGCTTGGCCTTCCACCAACCCCCATCCTTGATTTCCTTTCCCTCTTACAATTAAAAGAAGCACGTAGAAACTTGCACCATGGCTAACTGTCTATATTGGGGAAAGTAGAAAAATCAGATGGTGTTTATTCTGTAAGATCAGCTGCTTATATCTGAATGATCACATTGCTGTCTTTTGTAAATCCCAGCAAAATGTCTGATACTTAATTTCTTTCCTTTACAGGACTTAACAGTGCATGATAGTTTAGCAGTGAAAATTTGTAATGAAATCTTGAGGGACCCAACAGCACCAGACATTCGTATTTATGTAAAAGCTTTAAATTCGCTGGAACTCAGCGGTTCTTCCACAGAGAATCTTCTGGTTTTGATCAACGAGATTCTACAGGTAGTACATAAATAACATGATTCTTTTTTAATCACTAACCATCCGGTATTCTGATATACTTGAAAATGAAGAGCCTTTTACTTAATATGACAATGTGACTGGAATTTCTCTTTAACCAGTCTTTGAAAATTACTCTTTGATGTGTTGTTTCCAGAAATCTGAGCTCATGACACTGTATAATTTACAGATTTCAGCCACCATAGACAGCAAAATTAGCATGAAACATGAAACTTGATATATTTCAATACAGTTCTTCTGATTACTGTAGTGTAGTTAATTTTTTTTTACATTAAAATAAAATTTAATGTGGAGTTTCCCAGTCTGGAGGCTTATCTTTACTTAAGTATTATCAGCTGAAACGTTACACCTAAAGTTACACTGTACCTGCAAGATCATCAGACAACCTTAAAAGGGTGCTTGATTTAAGATAAGACGGGAAGGGATTACAAGAGTAATGTGACAGGTTTTACATTGACCTTTTTTTAATATGGGGTAAAACACAGCAAAATGTGGGATTGTGACAGAAGACAACAATGATGTATAGAAATGTTGAAAAGAATACTGATGCACTATGGGCATATCATCCAGGGGCAGCTGCGCTCCAGGACTTGGCTGGAAAGGTCCAGTAACTAATATTGTTTGGTTTTTTGGTGTTTCAGTGCCTGGTGCTGATGGAGAAAGTGTTTCTCCTTTCAACTTGACTTATCATGTCACACCTTGTATCCTTTGTGCAGTAAATTGAACTAATCCTATTAGTTAAACTTACGAATGGGGGGAAACTTTAATGAGTAAAAGAAATAGTTGTAAATGAAGTAACTTTTAATATTAAATGTCACTTCTCCAGGAAGTGAAAGATAAACTGTGTCAAAGAGCTATTGAGAAGTTCAAGATGAACTTGACAAAAGATCCTAACGTGGGCAAAGAGCACACTGAAATGACTGAGGAAACAGGCCTCTCTGAAAGGGCACAGGAAATGGAGACCACATTATCTGAAAATACTCTTCAAAATGAAGAAGGTAATTTAGGAAAGGTGTAGTTTAGTAGTAGGTATACAATGGAGTAGCTTGCTTAGATGCTATGAAAATAACTGCTAGTTTTCCCTCTGTTGAATTAACATATTTTCTGAAAAAATGGAAAAAAAACCTAGTACATAAGTATACAGTTTAAAATGCTGCTTGTAATGAACTATTTTCTGATTTTTATTGCTTTTGATCAGTTTCTGTTTTCTTATTCTCCATATTAGTATAACTAGTACTGTATTTTGAATCTTATCTCTGTCGTGCAGTTCTTTCTTCTTAACAAAGACTGTATTAAAATGGGCTTTAGTTTCTTAGCTGTTTAATGTGCTTGTGTGTCTGCTAACTACCAGTGATGACTAACTCATCTTTAGAAAGTGACTTATTAACTTGGAGGAAGAAGCAGGTACTTTGCGGTGCTTTTATGCTTTGGAGTTACCATGCCTGTGCTACTTACAGGCTGTGTTGTAGCAGTGTATGGCTGATATCTTCACTGTTGACACTGGCCCATCCTTGCTATGAGCTTATAGGTTGGAGCCACTTTTATTTTTTTTTTTTTTTCCTTTTATTGCTATGTAAGAGCTGGAAGTGGAAATGGCTGGAAGAGTTTCCACTGCCTGCACAGCTTATGCAGCTGCATGTGCCTTAGTGCGCACTGTGCTGATGGCACAAAAAGTTAACATGGTTAGGATTGCTTGGAGCAGTAAAGCAAAGATGGTGACATGCAACTGTTTTAAGCAGACCACGTTTTTGTTTAACATTTATTTGATTTATTTGTTTATATTTTCTAGTGGAGTATTTCAGGGCTTTAATCTGTTGTTTCTGCAAGTGCCAAATAACTCTTTATATCTCCTATGTTTATGGCTTCAAATACTTACTGGATGGGAAATTGCAAGTATGATTTTGAGCTAATAGTTGTACTGTTTTTTGTTACCACCTAATAATACCTTTTGGTAAGAATTTCTTACAAAACAGGATTTTGGGGCATTTCTTAAAAGTAGGCTGTAGGAGAACTCATTGTTTCTTCTGCTACCCTTCCCCAAATACATTTGGGGTCGTTAAAAATAAAGCAGCATCTACTACTTCAAATTTGTTAAATGACAGCTGTGAGCAAAAAGGGCAACAGACACTATTTTTGTCCTTCAATTGCTGCAAAGGAGATTTAGATCTGATATTAGGAAAAAAGCTTCTTGTCAATATGAGGCCACACCACTTTTTGATACAACCCAGGAAACTATTGGTCTCCTTGGCCAAGTGGCTGCACTGCTGGCTCATGGTCATTCAGGATATGGACACTCAGCTGACACAGCTGGTCCCTCACAATTCCAGTGTCCTCAAATGGAAAGTCACAGTTCTCACACCTGTGGTTCTCCAACTCAGGGGGATGGGCAGTCAGTCTCAGGTCTCTCAGATTATTAACGACAGGGGCAAAAAAAGCATTGAATGCCACTGCTTTTTCTTCATCTCTATTAGTCAGGGGACCCTCTTCAACAAGAATCAGTCCCGTGTTTTCTTTAAGCCTCCTCTTGCTATTGATATGTTTACAAAAGCCCTTCTTGGTATCTGACAACACTGACCAGCATCAGTTCTACTTGAGCTTTAGTCTCTTATGCCTTATCCCTGCACAAATGAACCACAGCTCTGTAATCTTCCTGCAGTGTCTCACCTTTCTTCCAGAGGTCATACATTTTCTTTTTGAGCTCCATGAGCAGTTCCCTGGTCAGCCAATCTGGTCTCTGCCCTGCTTGCTTGACTTCTGACACAATGGAAGGGGCTAAACAGTTGTCAGGGATAGTTTACATGTGATTGATCTGTGCTGGGACAGGGTTATAGCTGAGTGACACTTGAAGCTTCCTTCTAGCTGCCTTATTGAATTTCTGTAAGTTTAAAGGAAGAATACAGTTAAAATTGGGCGGCTTTTTTATATACCAGCCAATATTTAAAATACTGGTACTTAAGATATATTAAAAATTGATTGTCTCTAACTTCTGCATGTGCTATTCTGTTTAACAGATAATAACAAAGATGCTCTTCATACTCCAGTTACTGATGTTCAAAGTAAAGCAACTGCGAAACAGAAATCCACAAGAAACAAAACTGGGAAAGGTTTGCAGAGCTTTTTCTGGCTACAATACTTTGTTGTTTTTTAAAAAGACAAACTTCCTACTAACTTTTTGTGAATTTTTGTGAATTTTGTGAATTTTTGTGAATTTCTTTTGTGAAAACCCCCGTTCAGTCTTCATACAGCATTGTATTTTTTTAAATTTTATTAGTTAAAAGATGAAAATAGCCTTCTTCGTGGAAGTTTTTGTGCTGTCATCCTCTCCTGACAACACAGATTCTAAAAAAAGAAGTCTGACTATAGGATTTCAGGGTAATTTGGCCACAGTCATGTACAGGCATGTCAGAGAGATGTGGTACTTTGAGGGGGTTTTGCTGATGGTTTCATTTTGTCACCACATTCTGTCTCTGGTGAGTGCATAGTTACATGTGTCAATGAAATATCAAACACTGAACTATCAAACATGCAGAACTAGCTGAAGAAAAGAAACAGTATCACAGTATGAAATGAGGCTTTTGCTTATGCTTAGGACAACGAAAAGCATCATCAGAAGTGAGGTCCATGAGCAGAAGGAAAACTGGTACAAACACTGATACAACTGCAAAATGTGACAGTGAAAGGTAAATTCTCTTCTCTCCACTCTCACCCCTCTGGTGTCTGTCCTAGCAAGGACATTTAATTCAAATGTTTTTCTTTTCCCAAACCTGTATCTTTAACGTCCTCTATTCCTCATGCACAGATAAATATTTAAGAAAATAAGAAAGTTCCCTTTGAACTGGTACTTTTGAAACAGCAGCAGGTTTGACAGCTTCACATTTTATTATCATTGCTAAGAGCCTGGAGTTCTTTTTTTCTCTTTTAACATAGCTGTTGTGTGCAACAGTAACACATTCCAGCTGGCGAAAATCAGATGTTTGGCTTGCATTATTGCTCTTCTTCCAGTCACTTTTTCTGCTCCTTTTTAATAACTGTTCTGTGGAGGAATCAAATTTTTCATTTAAATTCTCTCTCCCCCTCCCCCCCCCCCCCTTTTTTTCTTGTTTTTCAAGATGTAGTCAATAAGCTTCTAGAAATGACTGATGGGTGAATATACCCAATGCGTTGTGATCTTGTAGGATATAGGCATTAAAACAACATCATCTTCATAATTTTCAGCTGTGCTCACTGTTTCACAAGAAAGTATTCCTTGGACTTTGGTGTGACCAGGGCCAGTCATTCCCATTTGCCTGCTCCTGTGTCTACTTTGACACCATCAGATCTTTTGCAAGTTTTGCTTATTTTGCAGCTGCTGACACATGGTTAATGATACTGCTGATTCTTCTCAGAAAATAGCTTATAATTAGTACAAAGTACTTTTGCTCTCTAAGACATTGCTTCAAGTTTGTAAATGTAAATCCTTTTGTGTCTGCTTAGTCTTTTTGGCCTTACTTTAAAATATTTTATGTTTTAGTGGTGATGAGATTCCAGAATCTGTCCCAGTGTCCAGTTCAAGGCCTTCAAGACGAGCAAAAACAGTGGCACTTGAAAAAACAAGAATGAATCTTTCAAGACTTTTGAGTAGGGAAGCAGATCAGTGAAGACAAAAGAAGAGAAAGTGGCCTTTGCTAATGGTGGTAGTTGACATCAGTCTTAAAACATAATATTTAGTTTGTTGTTAGCCATATTTGACGTTTTATACTATGATCTTTTATAATTCTAGAACTTTCTATGACATTTTACATTCTTTTCATATAGATGCATTTGATTTTTCCTGATACGAAGTCCATCATTCATGTAATAAAATCATATTAAAATATACTGGAACTTGGATTTATTTATTTTTTTTACTTTATAGAGAAAAATACTCTTTCTCTGCAAATAAAAATTGCTGCTGCTGGTCAGAAGTCAGTAGTTAAAGCTGTTTTGATATTTATCATTATTCAGAATGTTTGACCTGGAGTGGTTGCTTGTGATGGCAGCAACTTTGAATGTACCACCCTTTAACTGAACCTACCTTCTTCAGATTTTAGCCTGCACACCCATGGACCAGGTTTTATTGCTCGTGTTCATGTAAAACAGAATTGATCTGAATTGTGAGTTCTGCTTCCTGAAGGTATGTCTCCACTGCATAGAAAAAATGGCAAAATGGTGAATCTGGGTTACTGATTTCACAAAGCTAAGCCTGGAAGTCTGCTACTGCTCTCAATGACCTTGTTATATAAAACCAGTCCTGGGCTTTTAGGAAAGCGTAAAAATATTTGTGGTATAAAGTAAGATCCAGGAATACTTAAATACAGAAAGGGCAAAAAATGAAATACTTTCTGAGGCCGGTGTACTGTCTTTTGAAGTAGCGATTGGGATGTCTTTGTAGCTTTCAAGTTCACAACCCTTTTTCTAATGACTTGGCTAGGAATAGGCATGAGTTTCACAGAGACAATAGGGGATTTAGTTTAAACTGCTCATAGTAGTCACTGGTGGCTGAGCAGGTTCACTCTGGAAATGCTAGTCTTTTAGTTTGGAAACAGTCAATCCTGTCTGTCTTTGTTACAATATAGATAATTTTCAAGGTAGCTGGAAAAAAACAGGGCAACTGCTTGACACATGCATCTCTGCTGCTGGTGCCCAATGAGACTTCCTAAGGAACTTGCATATAAAATAGGTGAATACATTGTAAAGGGACTTTGGTAACTCTCAGGAATAGCTTAGGGACACAAGAGAAAAGCAGCATTCTCAAAGTACATTGCATAGCCTAATAACATTAGGTTATTTTCGAGCTTGCACATAGAAAACAGACAGGATTGTGTTGCTTTTCCTCTCATTCAGTTTTTGTTGGAAACCTGTCAAACCGCAAAATGCCATTGCACACTTTTCTGCTGATATTTGCTATTCAGAAGCTTATGTAACTGCGGTGAATTATTTTTATTCATCACTTTAAACAGAATTTTGAAGTCCTGAGCTCCCTCTTTTGATAATCCTTTTCTTCAAGTCTCCACTTGTGTTGCAGGGGGAGTTTGTGTTTCTGCAGCCACTTCAGATCACAGACAGCCTCTGTTCCATTGAATACTGCCTGAACCCACTTTAGAGTGTGAAGTATGGATTTTATTTTGTATCAGTTGATTGTCAGAGCTTACCCAGTGCTTTAAAGTTTAGTTTATTTTTAATTTTTTATGGTTTTAAATAATTTCAGTTACAAGTTTTCTCTCACCCTTACTCTCATGAGTGGTTTGCTCTTCTGCCACTGGACCAGCAGCAGTTGTTCAAAGTGTATCCCTCTTAGTTTTGTCTAAAATGAGTTTCTAGGGAAAGCAGGAGCAATGAAAACTTGTAGTCTTCTCTGCGAATGCCTTCCAGTTTTGCCACCTTGCTGTTCTGTTGTGTCTTGCCCCACATGCAGGCTCTGTCTTTGGCATCTCAGGAATGCTGTAATGAAAAATATGAAGTTTCTCATTGAAGTCACCTCAGTCTGTGTGTCTCTGCTGTGACTATGGCTTCACTGGAGTGTATTGACAGAAGACAGACATTGACTCTGGCAAATGAATGAGTTCAGTGGAGGCCCCTGTGCTGGTCATGGGGCCCTGTGGGAAGAGGCTACGGGAACTGGGCTTGTTCAGCTGGCAGTTGTTGAGAGGATCCCCAGGTACCTACAAGGAGTCTGCTGAGAAGATGGAGCCAGGCTCTTTGTTGTATATGTTCAGAGGACAAAAAACAATGGGCACAAGCTGAAACTCAGACCAGAATATAAGGAGAAAAAGGCTGTGGGACAGGTTGAGAACAGTTGGAACAGGCTGCCCAGAGAGGCTCTGCAAGCTCTGTCCTATGAGGTTTTTAATACCTGACCAGCTGAAGTTCCGCACAACTTGCTCTGACCTCACAGCTGGCCTGCCCTTGTGCAGAGTGTACAACCACTGGCCTCGGTCTTTCCATGCCTGAATTACCCTGTGATCCTTTTTCAGACTAAAAACTTGGCCAGCAACTGGCATGTAATTTCCAGCCCCTCTGGGCTCTTCCTCTGCCCAGTGGAGGGTTTCCTGTGCAGCAGAAAATTCATAGAATCATAGAATAGTTAGGGTTGGAAAGGACCTTAAGATCATCAAGTTCCAACCACCCTGCCATGGGCAGGGACACCTCACACCAGCCCATGTCGCCCATCCCTCCGGGAGTGGGGGGAGTGAGCCAGAGGCTGCGCAGTTCTGCAATGCTGGCTGGGCTTAAACAACGACAACACCTTACACTAGATCATGTCACCCAAGGCTCTATCCAACCCGGCCTTGAACGCCACCAGGGACAGAGCATTCACAACTTCCCTGGGTAACCCACTCCAGGGCCTCACCACCCTCACAGTAAAGAACTTCCTCCTTATATCCAATCTAAACTTCCCCTGTTTTAAGTTTTACCCCATTGTTACCCCTTGTCCTATCACTGCAGTCCCTGTAGTGGCAATTTAGGTGTGTTCTGTCAAAATGACTTAACTTTTGAGGAGGAATGGCTGCGTAACTGCAGGATGCTTGGATGTGTGTTGTATTCTTCAATGCTGATCATCAGCAATAATCAAAGTTTAAAGTTATGCAGCTGACTTTCTCAAAAGTTGCCTATGGTAGCAGCAGGGTACATCCAAAGGTGATGGGAAGCCAAGTTTCTATATATCTTACAAGCTGCAGTGAAAAAATCTTGACTTAGTTAAAAAGAGTAATGCTTACTAAAATTCTTTTGCTGGTTTTTAGTGACCTGAATTCTATGGGTTGAAAGTACCCTAACTTCCTGGCTGCTTAGTTGAGGAATAAAAGCTTAATCCCCAAAATATTCTGAATGACTTAAAATTGGCCACTTTGTTGCTCTGAAGCAATTACTGTGCATCCTCTCTCCTTCTGGCTAAACACAACAGGGTCTCCAACATGAGCTACACTAGACTTAGGTTTCATTCCATATTAGATGATAAACCAGCAGTGGTCCTTTGTTGTCAAAATGATCCCGTGGTTATTACTACATTAGTTTTTGTTTCTTAAAACCAGTTTTGTGATTGCTTTTGCTTGCTTGTCTGTCCAGACTACAGACAAAAAGACTTTCTGTTGGTAACAGTCCCCTTTAGCTGATAACTATCTCAAGAAGGGCAAGTGCTGCACCAAGCACACCTTTTCTAGTTTTGTTGTTTGTCTGACTCAAAGCAGTGGCTACTGAGTTTGGGTTATGCCTGGATCTGCCTCCCTCTGAAACCTTTTGGGTTCATCAGCCAATTGAAACTCGGTATGACACACAGGAAGGGATAGCAATAAGTTAACAAAACCAGACAGCTGCTTGGGTGTGAGACACGTTTGTAATTAACAGAAAAGGTTCCAGTATTTTCTTGGTCTTTTTTCCCTGAAAAAATCCTTGTGACATCTGCTTCAGGCACACAAACAAGAGACTGGGTGGGCTACTCAGCACAGCTTGTGAGACCATTTCTTTGTCCCTCTTAAGGGTCACCCTGGTCCTCAGGTGGGGCTTACTGAAGTCAACTCCAGTGCCTCTCCCCCAGGAAGTTCAATTCTTTTTGGCTTTCTTGCCAAATGTATTAAACAGCTGAGATACATAAAGACCCTTTAGACAGCGTGGTGTGATGATGCATGTTTATTCTTTTAACCATGTTCTGCACTGACCCTTCAGTGACTCAGTGTCCTTTTGGGATCTTGTGAGACTCACCCGAAATCACAACAACCTTTTTATTTCAGTTACTGGATAGCACCTGCAAACCAACAAACTTCTGTAAAGACGAAGTGCATCTTTAAGAAAGATGATAATTTTAAGTGAATCCTTAAAACCTTTGTTTTATAGAATGCAGTGTCTTCCAAGGAAATTGCCTTCTAGAAAATTAGTTCTTGGCAAGGACAGGAGAGACCACTTATTAAGAAGTTGAATTAAGAATCCTCTACTCTAGCTATTGAATGTATGACTCCAGAAAAGAGAAATATATCATATAATTTTATTCTAACACTTTTTATAGCTCTATTAATAATAATGTTTTGATGAATGAATTACATGAACCTTGCCAAAGCTGATCTAAGCACGGAATGTCTACAACGTAGTCGGCTACAACCATTCACTACTTTGAGTAGAGTTCAAAATGTTGATGTTTACATTGAATTTCCAAAGTACACAGAAAAAAATGAAATAGGGAAAAGCATTTACATCCATTTTAATTGGTGGCAGGCATAAATTCATAGAAACAAAGGGAGGAGAAAGACCATTTAGCAGAAACCTCAGAAAGTGCAGATACAGATTTGTTGAATGACAGTCGTTCAAGAGCTTCTCCTGCAGGCTCAGCCCATTTTAGACATTATGCTCATGACACACTGTCACATAGACGTTCTCAAGATGGATGATGAAGATGAAAGCATACTGCAGAAACAACCTGGGTGTTCGGCACATTTCACTCTGTTGGTGAAGGAGATCTCCTCATGTAATTTACCTTTTCACGGCTTTGCTTCGAGGTAGTCGGTCTCCACCTGTTACAGACTTAGTTTGAGTTGTTATTACCATAAATCTTTACATGGTGACCTATGCCACAAATTACGTAATATATTAACTTTCGTGCACAAAAATAAACTTGGGAAATAATAATTAAAGAACATAGAAAAATCACAATACTATTAACGGGGAACATCCGATTCTGATATAAATTTGTACTGCAAGAATTTCATGATGGTCAGATGTGAAACTTTATATTTAGAAAAAAGAAAAAGAACATCAAAATGAATAATGCTAGTAGTAAGAGAAAGCCAAATCACACAAGATCATTTCAAGATCAATGTAATGAACGCTTATTATTCAGCAGAAAAGAAAC